GCCTCCCACTTTGTCAGGTCAGGCCACCTCTCTCAAGCCATCAAGTGTCTGTCCCTCCTCGGGGTGCCTTTGATGCTGCTGCCTATGGAAGGGCAGTCTGGGTGGTGAGTGTACTGGACGGAGCCAGAGACCCAGGCCTGAAACTGGCCCTGCTGCCGCTAGCCGTGCGCTCCCAGGACCCACTTTCCTTCTCTGGGGCTCTTCTTTCCTCTAACAGTTTGGGGGCTGGATTAAACATTCGTGGGGACTTCCTTTGGCCTGCATGTGCCACAGCAATCCAAGGCCAGCTCCTTTCTGGAGCAGCCCTTTCCACTCTGTGCTTCTACCCACTGACCTGGGACTGTGCTCTTGATGGTCAGGGAGGCTGTGGCATAACGGGTCCCCGGCTCCCTACACCCTCTGCGCCTTTTTGCGTAATTCCACTTGAAGCCTCATTTGAAGCTGAAAGAAAGAAAATGGAGGCTGGAGGCTCTAGGCCAGGAAGCTGAACCAGAGAACCAGTCCTTCTGGTTTTAACCCTGCCGCTGCTGCAGCCTTCAGGAACGGGGCACACAGGCAGGCTGCCGTGAGCACGGTGACTGGTTCATTGCTATTTGCCTTGGGGGGACCTGCTGCACTGGGACTAGAAACCGGAACCATGTGGCAGCTGACCTGAGCTTTCTGGACTTTCTTTTCTGAGCACCCAGAGGCCCCCACTCCAGGTCCAGGACAGCCTGAGTGTGCAGATCACAGCCCTGCCCCACCCCCTTAGCCAGAGGCTCAGGGGCCTGAGTGCTTTGAGGGTTGGGCAAACCAGAGCCAAGCAGGAAGATGCAGGCATTTGCCGATGACACAGCACTCCGAGGGGGCAGTTTTGCCACAGAGAACCCATAGGTGTACAAAAAGGTCCTCGTTGTCTTTCTATAAAGACTTGGGTCTTTGCACTGCCTGATTTGTCATAATGAGATTTTATAGAAAACTAGAGGCCCGGTGCACGAAAATTCATGCACTGGGGGTGGGGGGGTCCCTCAGCCCAGCCTGCCACTGCAGCTGCTGGACCTCAGCCCTCACTTCTTAGCGCTGGCCCCGTCCACTGGTGGGTGGGAGGCGATCTGGGGCCAGGCCAGCTGGGGGAGGGGCTGTGGGAGGTTGAGGCACAGCAGGTTGCATCCCGTCCAGCCTCTGTGGAGGCCTGGCACCAGGACGGGACCGCGCCGCTGCCTCTGTGGCTGCCTCTGCAGAAGGGGCCTTGACCTTGGACAGGCCCATGCCGCGGTCTCTCCCACTCCTGTGCCGCCAGCCCTCAGCCCTCACAGCACTGCCGCTGTGTCCAGAAGGATGTTCAGAAGGACGTCTGGAAGATGTCCCGTCTATCTGGTCTAATTAGCATATTACCCTTTTATTAGTATAGATGCTGGCCAGTGTGGGTGTCCCTTTGCTGGGGCTGATGAGGCCACATGTAGTTATGAGGGAACCCATTTTTTGTTTGTTTGTTTGTTTTTTTGTATGCTAATTCCCCCAGGATATGAAAGTCTGTCATGTTCTGGGTTTGCCTTGTTCTAGGTCCGTGGTCAGCAAACTGTGGCTCGCGAGCCACATGCGGCTCTTTGGCCCCTTGAGCGTGGCTCTTCCACAAAATACCACAAAATACCACGTGCGGGTGCGCACGTACAGTGCGATTGAAACTTCGTGGCCCATGCGCAGAAGTCAGTATTTTGTGGAAGAGTCACACTCAAGGGGTCAAAGAGCCGCATGTGGCTCGCGAGCCGCAGTTTGCCGACCACTGTTCTAGGTGAACAGAACCTGGGATTACCTTTCTTAAATTCATAGAATGATAACCCTTTGAGTCTGAGCCTTATGATTCTTGGGCATTTCTAAGTCACGTCATGGTAGTCGAGGAGATTGGTGTGGTCTCTAGGCTGGCCCTTTTGTACGAAGCACCTCCAAGTGTGTGCTTTAGATGGGGCTCATTAGTATGCAGTTCTTCAAGGAATCAGGGCCACCCTGTGACAAGATTGCAGGCCCAAAGAAGAGTGTGACCACAGTCAGACTTTTGATTCCTTCACTATATACAGTTCACGTCAAGTTCTCAAGACTTCAAACTCTAGAACCCCCCAAAAGAAGGAAACTCTTAATAGGCTCAAATCATTCCTTAGAGAATTTCAGTGGATAAACAATTTGCTATTTGGAAAAGAGTGGATCTGGTAGTACTTTCCTTCCCAGCATTATTGGGCATGGATCTATCAGCATTCTAAAAGCTAGCTTTCTTCAGGGAAGGGTTCTTCCAAAGCCACCTCCTCCATGAAGCCTTTTCTGATTCCCCTGAAAACCCCAGTGTGGTCTCTCCCTCCTGGCACTTTGTTCCTCTAACAGTAATATTCATCGCAATGATAACATTATCTTTGCTGAGCACTTATGTGCCAGCCATGCTGCTAAGGGTATTTGCATATAGCCTTACTTAATCTTCTCAACCGCCCTAACTCATAGGCACTATAATTATCTCCCTTGGACAGGAAAGGAAATTGAGACCTAGTGAGATGAGGTAACTTATCTGAGGTCACCCAGGCAGGAAGAGGCAGCCCCGGGCCTGACACTCACCTGCTGTTAACCATCCACTATTCTGCCTTTTCCTATATATCACTCTGAGAATCTGTCTTCTGCCCATAACAGTAGAAGCTATTTCTTCCTTTGTGTTTTCACTCTTGGCTAATCTTTTTTTATTCATCTTTATAAAGTTCTATGTTAAGAACCATCTCCTGGTACTGGTCTAAATTTATAAATTATCTGGACTCAATGGCTAACAATTACCGTGATGAATCAGGGACCCAGAGTGAAAAGAAGGGCAACCCCCACCCCCGCCCATTGCTGATCATGGCTCTCGGCTGGTTTCGGGTGGGGTTGGCCCCATGCTCAGCTTTCTTTTCCCTCCTCTGCTGAAGGACTGTACACTCCCCAGGGCAAGGGCTCTGTCTTGGTCATTTCGTGGCACTTCCTCCCACCCCCTGCTCCTGCCACCCGTGTTTTGTACTTAGGAGGCAATCCCTGTTCTCTGCCTACAAGCAAGTGAGCCAGAACAAGGTGCCAACTGCCATCTCCAAGGGCTGCCTGGAGCACTCATCTTGCCAAGAAAAGACATAGTCCCCTTCTTGTCACACCCTTCACATCTCACCTTAGCCCTTAATGGGCCCCAGGGCTAAGCTCGGAAGAGGGGCTTCCAGTCAGCCTGCTCTCCCAGGCAGGAGGCCCAGCGGGGGCCAGGAGGCTGAGAGCTCTTCCTGCCTCTGAAGCTTTCACCTTTCCATGCTCTTCCAGCCTGTGGCCCACTTCTTTCCACCAAGGCTGGGTCACAGACATGAACTCTCTTCTCAAAGCCCTCACAGGGGCAGCTGCGGAATGCCTGTGGGTGAGGGTTGTCAGCACCCTTCATACTGCCCAAGACTTAGAAACGGCTCCTGAGGCCTGGGCCTTCCCACTCCTGGTGGAGAGGGCATCCTGTGAGAAGGGCCCTGCTTCAGGCCGCAGGACAGCTTTCCACAAGGCCTTCGGGCCTCTGCACCCAGGACAGAGTGTGCTAGAGGTGTCTCTGGGCCCCTTGGGTAAGGAATACAGTCTCTCAGTGTCTCCGCCCACTCCCTGCCGGCTGTCCCACAGAGGTGGGCAGGCATGAGACAATCAGTGTCCAGGGCCTCCCTCCGCCATCTTAAACTCCAGGCAGGCTTTCCCTCTCCTGCCCCCATACCTGGCCTCTACCTTCTGCTCCCTCCTGGCTCCATCAGCTGCCACCCTGCTAGCCTGCTGTTTGTCAGGCACTCCACAGCCTCTGCCACTCTGAACCCAGCTGGGCACCAGCTACTGGGCACCAGCCGCTGCTCAGCTCTGCACACACGAGAGACATCCCCCCGCACCCCCAGGCTTGGAGTCACCTTTTGCAGGGGGGAGAGCAGGACTTGCTCATCCTGGAGCCAGGTGGGGACATGTCAGGGTTCATCCTGATGCTGGGCTCATGTGCCCCTCCTGCAGCACCTTCTCTATGCCTGGCACGTCCCAGGAACTCAGTGCACAGAGTCAGTCTGTCCTTGGGACCCATGCAGCCCCCACACTCCCCCCTTGTGGCTACCCACAGGGGCACACAGCTTCCCACCCAAATCAGGTGCTTCCAGAACAGAAGCATTGCTCCTGGTGCTCACCCAGTCCTGACTAGGCACTAGGGTTCCCCGCTTGCCCTCCTGATCTGCAGAGGGACCCCTTGCTTGGCCCAAAGGCCTGATTCCCAGCTTGATGAGCTTCCAGGGACCCAAGGACCTGGCAGCCTAGAGCTTATCTTCAACTCTTAGAGCCCAGTTCCCGGCGTAGAAAAGAACCCAAGCAGCCCGCCCCCCCCCCTCCCCCCCCCCCGCCCCCGGCCTTAGTGTGTGACACCAGGGAAGAACAAACCACGCTATATTAGCCTTGCTTCTTGGTTGGGCCCCGGCACTTTAACACCCCAAGCTCACTGGGCCTGACACCCTAGAGCAAACCAGGACGCTAACGCCTGCAGCAGAAGTGAAGAGCCCAAGGCCTCACTGCTCAGCCAGGCCCCCGGAACCCGGCCTGCCGCTGAGTGTCAGGGTCAGCATCTGTGCCCGGTTAGGCTCTGCATAAGGGCATGACTTGGAGCTTGGGCCCCAAAGATGCTCCGTAAATATCTGTGGGATGAATACAAGAGGAGAGCGTCCTCGAGGTGGTAGGGTAAGAGGACATCCTGGAGGGGTGTCCTGGTGGCACAGGGTCGGCCCAGCAGGAGGGGAGGCACAGGCGGGCGGGAACAGCAGAAATAAGCGTTTCGCTCTCTAGCTGGGAACCCAGAGGCCAGCTTGGACTGGGATGTTTCAAAATCCATCTGGAAAGGGAGTGGCAGGTAGGATGGGGCCCACAGGAACCCACAGCTGCTGCCCCTGTCCAGATGGCACATCGCCTGGACACCTCCACATCCCCACCCCTGCCTGGGAAGCCCGAGCCTATGTAGGTAGCCGGGACCTTACCGTGCCGCTCCTCCGGGCAGCTGGGCCTCGAGCTCCCCACTGCAGGCTGGTGCTTGTCTCTAGCCCAGGAAGCGCCACTCCCTTCAGGCAAAAAGGGGAAAAAAAAGAAAAGAAAAAGAAAACCTCAGTGCTTTTCTCACCCAGCCGCTTCTCCCAAAGGCTCCTGGTTGGTGTCGTCCTGCCTCTGTGGGCACACAGCCTCCTCCCTCCGCAGCTTACTCACCGGTGTGCCCGTGAGGCTGCCAGCTGTGTGGGGGAGGCGGGGTGGGGGGTGGGGGGCCACGCCCCTTGGCCTGACACGCACCGGAGCATGCCTCGTGGGGGCCAGGCTGAGCAGTGGCCCCTGGCTGGGCCCTGAGTATGGGGAAGCTGTGCCCTGCCCGGCACTCTTCTCAGGAAACGCGCCCCTGTGAGCTTGGCAGAGAACACACATAGATGCTGACTGGCACTGCATGGGCGAGTGACAGCATTCCTGGGTAGAAAGCTGTCTCCTTAGAGCCCAGGGCTGTCGGAAGAGGGAGCAGCGATGTGCTGTCCGGCTGGCTGGCAGGTTGGCTTCCATCCTTGGCCAGCCCCTTGGACCGCTCCCTGCCTCGGCATTCTGCCGCGTGTCTGAGCTGTGGACTCAGAGGGCCTGGGCTTGTCTGAGCGGGCGCTGCTCTCACCCTGCTCAGGCCAGGTGCTTGTGTCCCTTTCCACGACACCCGTCTCAGGACCTGGGCTGGCCCAGCATCAGTTAGGACGAGCTGCTGCCAAATCCCGCATCCTCGGCTCTCTGTGGACTCCCTGCTGTCCTCAGCACGGGGACAACACACACTCTCTCACACGTGGGGCCACACCCAGCACAGAGCCACCTACCTGCCCAGGTCGGCCTAAGCCAATCCAGCCTCGCTCTCCAAATGCCACTCTGACCCTAGAAGCCACTCATTTACAGAAAAACCTCGTGGGAGGTGAGTTCAAAGCCAGCCCGGGAGGAATCCAGTCGGCATGGACCAGACTCCCCTCCTCTCCCAGCACCTCTGGAGGACAAGGCAGCCGGATCACCATTTTGGCTATTGCACTTCGGTGGCTGGCGTCTCTCCCATGGCACTTCCGGCCCCCACAGCGCCTTCTATAACCTCAGGAAGGGGTGGCAGAGTCTCAGCAGGTCCCATCTTCCTCGGAGCCCAAGGCAGGGAGGGGCGGCTGGAAGGGGCGGGACTCAGATGCAGCTCCAAGTTTCCAGCTCCCAAAATAATCAGATGCAAAAGAGAAGAAAGAAACCCCCGGGCCAGCAGGTGACTCAGTGCCAGTGGGCCAGCTTAGTCACCTGGATGGCTGCTCCCGCTCCCGGCACGGCGGGCGGGGAGCGGCCCCTCCCCCACCTGCTTCCACAGCTACGAGCGGGAGCGCGGCCCGAGAGCTCCCGCGGGCGCAGGGCTGCGGGGCCGGCGGCGCGGGCGGCGGGCCCCAGCTTCCTTCCCCGCCACGGCGCGCCCCTCCTCCACCGCGCGCCCCGGCTCACTTTGGGATTTCTCCATTAAATCCTCAGGCAGCGACCTGCTCCAACGTTGCTTGGCAATTTTGATATCGTCGAGTGTTGCCATGGGGAGGAGAGTGATGTCATTGACATAAAAAAAAAAACAAAACCAAACCCACTGAATTTACAAATCAGCTGGGGTTGGAGCTATTTATAAAAGCCTTTTCCCCTGCCTTCCTTCACTGAGCGGGAGGAGAGGAAGAGCTGCCTGCCGGAATCAGGGGGCGCCTCCCCCAGCCCCGCAGCCAGACCTCCCAGGCTCCCCACCCCCGCAGCGCTGCGGGATTCAGACCTGGCTGGCCCTGACCACAGCTGGGCTGAGCTCCCTTGCCGGGTCTCAGCTGGTTTTGCTGTGAGTGGCACACAGGGAGTGCTGGGCAGCGTGAACGCTGGCGTCCTGGGTTTGCAGGGACCAGTGAAACCAGCCACTCAACCGCCCCATACGAATCATGCCCCCTCCCCCGTCAGAAACCAGGGCGTGTGCAGGTGAGTATCGTGAGCTCTTCTGCGCATGCACCTACCGGTCAGCCTTCTGAGCGCTCCAGGTGGAGCGGGCCTGCCGCGGTGCCCTCTCTCTCCCAGCCTCCCGCCTCCTTCACTGGCTCCTTTACTTCTCCCAGAATCCAGCTGTGGGTGCCCAAGCTCAGCTCTGACTCCCCAGTCCTCTCTCCCCACACTTACCACGCGCGGGTGGAACACCGTCCTCTCCGTGGCTTTGACCGTCAACCTGGAAAAGCTCACCGCGGGGCCAACACCCTGCCGCTTCATTGCAGGTGCCATCCTGGCCCCTGACCCGCCAGCTCCTGCTCCCAGGGCCCACTGTTGCTGACAGGTGGGAACCTGGCCCTCATTTCCGAGGTGGCACTAGGCTGCTCATATTATATTGGAAACTCATCCATTTTCTTCCATAGTAAAGCAACATGGCATTTGGTTAAAAGCCCAGGCTATGAGTTTTCGCTGTCCTGACTTCAAGTCCCAGCTCTGCTCATCAACCAAGTGACCTCGGCATGTTATTTAACCAACTAAACTCAATTTCCTTATCCACAAAATGGGGGTGATTTTGCCCACCTTCCAGGATTGTGGGAATTAAGTGAACAAAGCTCCTGGCACAGGAGCTCAGTAAACATGAATTTTCTTCTTAGCTGTCATGACTGTGTTGCTCATTGCTTATTCTTATCCACCTACCAACTGGTGGCAGATTAATCTTCCAAAACCGGGACCTCAGTCACTTCCTGTGCAAAGGTCTCAAGCTGAACACATTGAACTGCACAGTATTGGAGCACATGGCATTAATCATAAAAACTTCAATTAGGTCCTCCAACTACCAGCCATGGAACCCACTTTAACTCCATTTCGAGCAAGAAAGAACTTTTTTTTATAGCCATCAGGTAACTAATTCCCAGTACTGATGAGAAGTCTGGAGCATCAAGTTAGGACAGAAGCCAGGGCAGCCCCAAGGTCTCTAGGCATCAGGACTGACCTGGACAGAAGTGCTCCCACCACACACTCCACCTAGTGCACCTCCACACCTAGTCCAGAGCAGGGTGCATCTGGTTGGCCGCCTCAGGCCATGTATCCACCTTTGGTGGTGGTGGGGTAGCCGGGGCACAGTGCTTCTGTCACCAGACACGATGTGGTGAAGATTAGGGTGCTGTTTCTAAAGGAAAGGGTGATGGAGGCCCCAAACCAGCCAAAGGTCACCACAGCATCTTTGGCACTTTTTCTAATAATTTTAAATTTTGGAGTGTCATAGTCTGTAATTGTTGATTCTTGTGTTGTCTTCATGGACTGCGGGAAGCCACTGCTTGCCAATACTGTCACCAAGGAACGCGGAAGGCCGATGGACCTTGGGCATTAGCAGGGCTGACACTAAGGACGGATTGTTCATGTTGAGAAAGCAGTGGCTCAAGGCAATTTCCTAACCTGATAATCCTTTTACTGTTTACCAGACTTTACCTTTGATATGCCTGTATGCCTTGCTAAAGGGCAAATGTGTATTCAAGTAAATAAATAGTGGACCAGGCCAGAAGTTGGTGTGTCTCTTCAAGAAAGAGGCTCCACCTGGCCCACAATGCCATCTAAATTCATATTTCTTGTGTAGCATTTTCATTTGTGCATCGGCCCCTCCTTCAGTTCCTGAATTCAGCCATGCAGGTCGCGGCAAGGGACTTCTGAAAACTGATGGCCTGCACAGTCTCATTCCTCTGCTCTATAATGTTGCATGACTTATTGATTTGGTGAAAATATCTGCAAACTGACATCCATTTCTTTCACAGGTTGTAGAAAGGGGAGTGTGTGATCTGCCAGCCTTTGGAGAAAACTCTGCGAAGCTTGACTGCCTGTTGCTCCTGGGCCAGTGGTGTGCCCTGTGCCCTTCTTTATCCCAGTGGACTCACCTCTCTGCGCCTCCCAGTACGCTGTGAGCGCTCTAGGGCAGGAATCCCAGCATGGTGCTTGGCACACAGGAGATGCTCATGCAAATGATCATCTTTGTTGAATGAATGAATGACTGAATGAACATCTGAAGAGGTTCTGTGCTCTGGCCACCCCTACTTGGACTATGGTGAATTATGGAGCTGAGAGGAATTCTAGGTCATCAGCTCCACCCCTCTTTCCAGGTAAGAAAACTGCAGTCTAGAGATTAGGTGACTCAGCAAAGCCACATATGAAATTGGAGGCAGAGTCAGGACTGGAACGTGGTTTTCCCTCCTACAAGCCTGTGGTTCCCTTTGCTGTCCCACAGGTTCATTCTACCTCAAGCCCCAAGTGTGGTTTTCTGTAATTTAGTCAAGGCAGCAGTGGTGATGTCACCACAGGCATTTCTGCCTTTGAATCTTGGCTCCCTGGGTTGCAGCAATGCAAATCAGTCAGGATGATGTCCTTATAATTTCTTTCTTCCTTTTTTTCTTCCTTATTTTTATTTTTTAATCCAAGGGTATTTCTCCATTGATTTTTAGAGAGAGTGGAAGAGAGAGGGAAAGACAGAGAGAAACATCGATGTGAGAGAAACATATTGAGGTACGTGCCCTTGACTGGAATTGAAACTGGGACCCTTTGATCCACAGGCTGATGTTCTATTCACTAAGCAAAACCAGCTAGGGCAACAATCTATACTAATAAAAGGGTAATATGCTAATTAGACCAGATAGACCAGACATCCTTCTGGACAAAGCCTCAGCAGCAGCGAGGGCCAAGGAGGACCGGCAGCCACAGCGGCTGGCAGTGGCAGCAGCAGTGGGGCAATGGGGTCACCTCCCGCAGAGGGAGGCCAGACTGTGGCTGGTGATGGGGACGGCGCCTTCCCCTGATTGGCCCGGTCGCCTCCTGCAGAGGGAGGCCAGACTGTAGCCTAAGCCATCAGTAGGACATCCCTGAGGGATCCCGGACTGTGAGAGGGGGCAGGCTGGGCTGAGGGACACCCTCCCAGTGAACAAATTTTTGTGCACTGGGCCTGTAGTTTCTTAATAAAGTCTTTCACTTGAAGCTCTTTTGTTTTTGAAAATGGATATATACTTACAGCCTCAAAAACAACTTGCCTCATCTGCACCATTTTGGTGAGTCAGGTTCAGCTGGAATGATTGCCCACATCAACGATGTCTTACTGCATGATTTTAAAAGAATCATCTGGAGATATGTTTAGAAAGGCCATGTAATAATGAAGTCCTAAAATTTTCCTGAACTCATGCTTCATAGGTTTTCCCAAAGAATGAAGTTTCAGAAACAAAGTCTAGGGTTCTAGCATATGGGAAAAATTCCCTTTCACTGCCACATTTTTCTAGATCTTTAGATTCTTCTACACACTTCCCACCTTCTTGTGCTGCATGGATAGAGGGTGCCTTATACAGGTTTTCTGACGGCTGAGTGGGCCTGTCTTCACCTGCCTACACTCGTCAACACCTCGCACCTCAGGGCCAGGAAGGGAGGAACAGATTCTGCTTGCCTTCACCTCCTACCATCCAAGCCAGGGCAGGCTCCAGAGAGAAAGCCTGGGATTAACGAGCAGGTGTTGTCACTGGAGGCGCCTCCTGCACTCCAAGGCTGCTGTTACCTCAGAAGTGTCCCTCAGCCCCGGGCCTCCAGGAGAGCCAGGCCAGAAGCAAGAGCCTCACCTCCAAGAGATGTTCCTAAATGGCTTCCTGCATGGCAGGTGGGGTGCCTGGGGAGCAGATGCCTCCAGGGCACCTACCCAGGCTCCACGGTGTTGGTAGCAAACGGGAGGATGACCAGGTCAAGTCCTGAAGGTCCAGTAGGAAGGATGCTTACGGGCCTGTCAGATAAAGATGCTCTGGGGACCTTCTGTGCCCACTCCTCTGGTCCCACTCCTTCTCCCATCCAGTGTGTGTGTGTGAGCGTGTGTGTATGTGTGTGTGTGCGCGTGCGTGCGTGCACGCGCGCCCAGGGTAGTGAAGTGCCCTGGGGGCAGGGCCAGCTGTGTGGGGGATGGCCAGCAGGGGCTTCTATCATGCTCCATGGAATAGGAGTGCCTACTGGGCTGCAGGTTGGGGGGTTTCTCCAGGAACTCGTTCCTTTAACTAGAGCACATTGGAAAAGCCTGGGAGGAGTTACAACCAACAGCCCTGCTGCCAGGCTGCTGCCACTCTGGCCTTGATCAGAAGGCCCAAGGCTGGCCGTCTGCCTAAAAGCAAAGAGGGAACGTGGCGGCGTTCCAATAGCCTCGTCTGGGCTGCAAAACCGGCCTGGACCAAGGGGCAGGGGAGTGGGAGGAAGCGAAGGGACCGTAGTGCTGTCTGACAGAAAACAGGGCTTATGTCCGAAAAGCTGGTTTAGCATCCTCCATGTCGCTGGGGCACTGGAGGAAGCCAGAAGAGAGCTGGCAGTGGCATGGTCAGCGGGGAGACACCCAGAGAAGGGAGGGTCAGGTGGTCTTCCCATGTTGCCCAGCCCATCACGGTGCTACAGGGGGCATGAGAGGGGGGAGCACAGACCAGAATCTCATCAGCATTATGGGTGACCCCGGCTAGGGGTTCTGCTGTTGACCTCCAGAGTTTCCCCTCAGGAGAAACAGTATGCTTCAAGTAATGGGTTGCTTTTCCAGGAGTAGATGGAAGTGTGAAAATACTTGGTTTTGTGAGATGGGGTGGCAGCAGCTGAAAACAATTCTATGAAGTATTTGGCATGTGCCAGCATAGTATGGCTAGGAGCTTTCTCCACCTGTTAGTTCATTGAATCCTCAAAACACCAAAAGGTCAATGTTATGATCCCCATTTGTACAGATGAGGAATCAGGCTCAGAGTACTGCCCTGGCGCTCACTGTGACCCCCGTGGCTGGGGCAGGCACTCCTGGGGCAGCTCTGGCTCGACTGTTGGTGGGTGACACTGCACAGATGCCTGAAGGGAGCCCACAGTTGGGGTCTGACCACACCTGCTCTGATGGGCTGAGTGCTGCCTCCGATGGCTTTCGTCCCTTGGGACAGAGCGGGCCTTTAGACTTCAGGAGGGAGTCAGCACTCACGCCCCAGTTCGGTGGCTGGGAGCAGGCCTTTCCTAGGGGCCAGCCTGTCCTGGGAGAAGCCTCTATGGGCGGGTTGACCCATCTCTGTCAGAGCACGGAAAAGGTGGGACTAGCAGAAACTGGCTAGGCTGTTGCTGAGACGGAGTGAAAAAGAAAGGTGAAATGGGCATCCCTGTCTGCTAGGCTGGTCCCAGGCACTTCAGGAGTTTGACCCTGAGATATTAATAGCAATGTGAGGGGCGGCTCAGAGACTGGTCAGAGCAGAGTTACACACAGCAGAGTTACACACAGCAGAGTCCCAGGGGCTGGATCACAATTGTGTCCTCTTTTCAGCAGAGGATGTAAGGGTCTTTGCCAGCCCAGCCCTAGTCCACTGGGAGCAGTCTCCTTAACACTCTCCGTTCGCATGAGCAAGGACTAGTGATAATCTGGCAGCACAGGTGCCACAAAGCGGCGAATGGACATAGGTGGAGGGTTCCTGATGTCTCTACAATGACTGGCTAAAAGCTAACTTTCTTGAACACATAGGCTATGTACTATGCTAAGCCCTTACCATACATTAACTCATTAAATCCTCAACTAACCCAATGAATGAATTCATTCAATGAATGGATTGGATTGAGTACTTGCTAGGTACAAAGCTCGAGTCCCTGTCCTCATGTAATTTAACAATCTAGGTAGGAACTATTATCCTGGTCAGAAATGAGGAAACTAAGGCTTCCTGAAGTTGACCCACTTGCTCAGGTCACTAACAGGACAGGGTTTTAGAATCGGTTTCAGAGTCCAGGATGCTATTCTTTTATTGATGTTAATCCTCATCAGAGGATATATTTTTTCATTGATTCTAGAGAGAATGGGAGAGAGGGGGAGAGACAGAGAAAAACGTCCATGTGAGAGACACACGATTGCTTGCCTCCCACATGCACCTTGACTAGGACGGGATCGAGCTTGCAACTGAGGTAAGGTATGTGCCTTTGACCGGAACAGAATCCATGACCCTTCAGTCCAGAGGCCAACGCTCTAATCACTAAGCCAAACTGGCTAGGGCGAAGGTGCTGTTTTGCCACCAAATCCCTTTTCCTTCCCAATAGCACCCGTGCAGCAGACACTACTGGTTGCCTCACTAAAGCAATCTCATCTCCCTTCTTACTTGCTGGAAGAAACCCAGTGTATTAGGATGTACATTCTTCCCCTTCCTGTGTACTCAGGGAAGGGCCCCCCACACCAGTCCCAAGGGTGAATCTTAATTAGTTTGGACCAGTTTTGGTAATTCCCTTCCTTTTGTCAGGGCATGTGACAATATGGCCAAGAAAGGAGGGGACATTTGCTGGGAGGGTTTTGGTAAGTTTTCTTGTGCTACTCCAAGTTGTTGAGCTTGGAGCTGTGGTTCCCTGAGGGGACCAGTCTGAAGACAAACCAATATGCTGAACATGGCAGGACAGACGGGTGGAAACTGGGTTCTTCTGAGCTGAACGCCAGGCTCATTATGTGAAACAGCAGGTGTTCTTACTCCTTATGGCAGCGTTTCTCAACCTTGGCTGCACATTAGAATCCCCTGGGAATCTTTTTAAAATCCTGACTTCTGGGCCTCATCCTCTGGAAATTCTGTTTCTTTGTTACTAATGTGGCCCCACCCCATAACAAAGAAACAGAATTTCTGGAGGATGAGGCCCAGAAATCAGGATTTTAAAGATTCCCAGGGGATTCTAATGTGCAGCCAAGGTTGGGAACCACTGCCTTATAGTATCTTGGATTTTTTTTTCTGATTTTTTCTTTTATGCGCAGGTGAAGACGACCTAATGTAAACCACCTCCAAACCCTGTCACAGCACGATGGCTTCCAGGACACCCCAACCCAGTTGGCCCTCAATCCCGCTGTGTCCTGACACACCTGCTCCTCTCCTTTGGCTTCTGGTCATGGCTTACTTTGAGATGTCCTTTGACCTACTTTTCTTTATTGTCTTGGCTTTTAACCTGTAATTTCCTGTTTCTCTAAATTATAAACGTTCTGAAGGGAGTAAGCATGCCTTATATTTCTTTACATCCTTACTGGAGCTCTAGTAGAGCTCAATAAATATTTATTGGCTAACCTTCTTTGACACATTTAGAAATATTTTCTGGTAAATGGACACGTTAAATTAAGGCGTCAACAGGTAGCAGCTGGAAGCCTGACTAAATAACAATGTTAGGCATTTCAATAGTGTTTAGATTTTACAATGGATTACACCAGTTCCACCTGCCTCCCATGTGCCCAGCTCTGGGCTGGCTGCTGAGGAGATAGACAGGACTCTGCTGCTTGCTATGAGCCAGGAAACTTTCATGTTTGGCAACCATATTATTTTTTTTGTGTATTAATCCTCGCCTGAGGACATTTTTTTTCATTGATTTTTAGAGAGTGGAAGGGAGAAAGGGAGGAGGGGCAGATAAATACATCTGTACTAATAAAAGGGCTATACGCTAATTAGACGGGACATCTTCCAGACATCCTTCCAGACGTCCTTCCAGACAAAGCCACGGTGGCAGGGGCCAAGGCAGAGGTGGTTAGGGGTGATCAGGCCGGCAGGAAAGGCAGTTAGGGGCTGTGAAGAGCAGCTACAGTGTTTGGACAAGTTATGGTCTGAACCTGTGGTTCCATGTGGCTAAGTGATATAAGCTGGGGGAGGTGCAGCAAGTAAACAAATTGATCAAGTGCATGTAATTCAGTAGATGTGAAACCCAGGAGAACATTGTAACCACGCCCTTACTTTGCCTCGTGGAATCTGGCTATAAAATAAAGATTCGGCTTGCAGGCCTTGGCGCTGCCTCTCCATCAGAGAGAGCAGCATCCCACACAGCCCCAGCTTTCTTCTCTTGTCTGTCTTTTCTTAATCCTTCACCGCCCCCTCTCAGGCTCACCAAACCTGGCTGTGCTGGCGCTGCATAGGGGTGATCAGGCCAGCAGGGGAGAGCAGTTAGGGGTGATCAGTCAGGCAGGCGAGTGGTTAGGAGCCAGCGGTCCTGGATTGTGAGAGGGATGTCCGACTGTGGGGATTGGGCCTAAACTGGCAGTTGGACATCCCCCAAGGGGTCCCAGATTGGAGAGGGCACAGGCCGGACTGAGGGACCCTCCCACCCATGCACGAATTTCGTGCACCGGGCCTCTAATGTATGTGTGTGTGTGTATCACACTAATATATATATATATATATATCTCCTATATAATAAAAGCCCAGCGATCATAATGGCATAACAACCAGAACGACTGCTCGACCAGTCGCTATGAGGTGCATTGACCACCTCTCGGTCCCTCCCCCCCCAACAACCCTGCAGCTCCGATCGCTGGATGGCGAACGGGGAACCAGGGTAGGTGGCGGTGGTGGGACGGGGCTGGGGACTGGTGAGCAGGTGGAAGATGGCCCTGATCGCAGGCTAGGCCTAGGGACCCTACCCATGCACGATTTCATGCGCTGGGCCTCTAGTATATATAGTTACCATATATATACATAGTTATATATAACTATAGTATATGTAACTCTAGTTATATATACTAGAGGCCCAGTGCACAAAATTCGTGCTGGGGGTGGGGGGTGTCCCTTCAGCCCAGCCTGCACTGTCTCCAATCCGGGACCCCTTGGGGGATGTCCAACTGCCTGTTGATGATCGGGCCAAAACCAGCAGTTGGACATTCCTCTCACAATCCTGGACTGCTGGCTCCTAATTGTTCACTTGCCTGGTTGCCCCTAACTGCCCCCTGTTCTGGCCTGATCACCCCTCACTGCCTCTGCGTGCCGGCCTGACTGCCCTTAACTGCCCCCCACCCCCACCAGCCTGGTCACCCCTTACTGCCCCCCCTGCTGGCCTGGTTGCCCCAACTGCCCCCCCCTCCCCCCACTGGGCCTGTTCGCCCCACGCAGCCTGCTTGTTCAGTCGTTTGGTCGTCCCTCACTAACCCCTGCCAGCCTGGTCGTAGGCAGCCATCTTGTGAGGGTGTGAGGGTTAATTTGCATATTACCATTTTATTATATAGGATAGAATATACAGTATATATGGAGAGAGAGAGAGAGAGAGAGACCCACCAATTGCTTCCTGCATGCACCAGGGCCGGGGCTTGACCATGGATACCCTGATGGGAATCGAATCCATGACACTTTGGTGCGCAGATCGACACTCTAACCACTTACTCACACCGGCCAGGGCACCATATCATGTTTTTAATTCTCACAGCCTTTTGGGGTAGGAACCATCAGCACTGGTTTAAACACGGCAGACTGACCTGCCCAGATCCAGCAGCTAGTAAGAAGCAGATGGACGGTATGAGGTTTTCCAGTTCCTGGATCAAGTCTATAGGGCTTCCTGTGCCTCCCCTTTCCTATTACGCAGTCGTCACCTTTCATCCATTGGCTCAGGACAGGGATGTAGCAGAGCAGAAAGTAGAAATAGCTCCAAGCTCTACAAGGAAGTCTCAGGAAGACTAAGTATCTTGGCTTGAGTAGGACCTGCTCCCCAAGCCAGAAATTTGTTCCTCTGATATGGGACAGGAGAAAGAGGAGAGGATTAAGATGTGTCTGTCTGTAGGTGGCTAGAGAAAGGACCTGCAGCCTGCTTCCCACCAATGTTAGCAGTAAGCCTCAGCCCGAGCCATCAGAGCAACCAGACCAGGGGCCGTCTTTTCAAGGTTCCTGTGTTCTGAACTTGGCACAGAAGCAGCAGAGGCTGTAAGCCAGAGACGCTTTGGGTTGAAATGATCTTGAGACTAAGGATTGGGGACCAGATGGACCTTCCTGATAGCGTGGTATTTGACTGATCTTGGGACAGTACAAATATTTGGGTCCCTTAAGGTAACTCCCAACAGAAACAAATTGTTTTCCCTTATCCTTAAAGTTACAGAATACATTTCTTTCATTTATCTTCATTATGTTACAGATTTTGCTATACTCTGTACTGTAAATTAATCCAAGACAGTGAGGCTCCAATCAACTAACTGGGATCCCAATGTACTTGAGAGGTTTCCAGAGAACTTTAGACCATTTAAACTTTAGAACTAAATCAGTACCAACATCTACAAGTATCTGTACTAAAAGCTTTAGTTCTCCATACTCTGTAAACTAGGCACTCAGGTTCCTTTTATACAGGAAGATTGGCTCAGAGAGGAAGTAACTTGTTCAATGCCACACAACCAGGATTCAAACCCAGGCATTTTGGATTCTAGAGAGCATTTGTAACCACCATGCTAGTGTTTGGTTTGGTACTATAGGCAGGGAGGCACCTCAATATGGAGGAGGTTCTAGGAGGTCCTAGGCCTGTGAAGTTGATGTCCTATAAGGTGAGCACTACATGCAAGTTATAACTAGGTATAAAAAGACACAGATCTTCTCCCAAAGAGCCTATTTGAGTTAGGGGTAAGGCATGTACACGTACCTTTCCTAGGCAACTAAGAATGTGGTAGGGAATGCTAAAGATAGGCGTTATGGGCCGCCCCAGTGGTCTACACATCATGGAACCTCGACCACTGGCCCATGCGGTGGGATGTGCCTGACTGGGGGAGTCCTGAGCAAATGGCCTTTTATCTGTTCAGTGACCGGGCACAGCTGACCTGGAGTCCCTTCTAGCAACGCTGGGTAACTTTTGTCTACTCTGCCTAGCTCACACTTCTGCCCACCTGACCCCCTGGATTCACGGGGACTCCCCGGCTCACTGTACCACATACACACTCATCCTTCATTCTCCATTTCCTTAAATGATCCAATCTTCATGTGTCATGCTTTTCAATATTTTTATTACTTTATTCTAGTGTTACCAAATTTCTTTTACAATTTTGTTTAAAAAATGCAAAATCACACAAGTAAATGGGAAGAAGGTATGGGGGAATAAATGGTGATGGGAAAAGAAAATAAAGAAAAAACACACAAGTAAATGTATACTCATCCTTTTGTTCACAGATTTTAATGGGTATCTGTTTTTATGAAATGCCATCCTCACTTTGCTAATTGCAGGACTGAAGCAATTAAATAAAATGCATCACATGACCAGGCCAGTGAGATTAAGCCACTTGAAAAGTGCAGCATACACTGACTCATATAACGGTTTCAAATAAATGTGAAGCTGAATTAAACATACATGGGAAATGAAGTACACATTTTGATGGAATAAGTAAATCTGTGAAAATATTTAATTCTGAAAAGAGTAAACAGGACAATAAAGTGTAGCACGACGTAAGGTCAGCAGCCAATGACAACTGAAGGTTAAAGAAACATACATGCAGTGACACAGAGATATGAAAGTGACATTGCCATTCCAGGCACATTAGAGCCTAGGATAGATTCCACCCTCCATCCTCCCCAAGGCTCTAATATACATCTTTAAAAACTCATTGCTGCACGTTTCCAACATTTAAATTCACTACTTATTTTTGAGAGCTATGCTCTCAGTCCTTTGCTCACATGGGGCTTGAAAACAAGCAGTTTGATTGGGCAACCACTATTTCCCGTGGAGAGAAGTCTGAACTTATGGGACAATAATGTTTAGCAGCCAAGTTTGCCACAGGAGCCTGTACAAGAGCAAGATTACTTAAAGCAGTATGCTCTGATGGGAAGAAGGATGTTTACAGAAGTTTAGCCTAAGTTCATCATTGTTTGTTCCTTTCTTAATCATACAATGTCAAGTTTTCATGTGAAAGCCAAAAAATATATTTGTTTTGAAAAAAAGTTGAGCTTTATATAATTCAATCCCTTCATAGACATAGGAAGTTGTAATAGTAGGAAGATGGTAATTTTACAAAGCATATCTTGAATAGAAACATTACAAAACATTTGAACACATATGAATTTTTAGCATACTAAAAAGAAAAGTTTAGATATGTCATTTTCAGTTATTTAAAATTATTTTCGGTTTCTCATTTTAATTCCAAATTAATCTTAATTTTATATTTGGATAATAAAGAGTCCTACATTTCCCATAAAAAAACAAAAAACTAACACTCACTAGGCTTTCCTTTATTTTGAAAATGTAGATAAGGGAAAAAATGACAAAACCATGGCCCATAATTTCTTAGCCTGGATTATCCTATAGACATAAAACAAAAGTAATACACATAACATGTGCAGAAATGTACAAATTAAAAAGT